TTCACGCAGTTCGTTTTCGTGTATCTTTGCAAGTAACATCTGACACTGTTCTCGCTTCAGGAAATTCGCTTCAATTTCAATGCCTTGATTCTTTACTATCTGTATCACGCTTCTTGATACTTTCGCACAAGAAGTGTGATTCATACAAGTTCTGGAACGACTATGTGCCGCTTGACACAATGCGCTATGCTGTATTACACTGCGATGTGCAGGTTAGAAACCACTTAATGTAGCCTTACCATGAATTTCGTCTTTATCATTTGCATTGCGGGAGTTTTCTTCATACGACTTCACTTCGAATTTGCGTCTTTCTCTAACTCTCGTAAACGTTAGGTTCGATTGGCTGCATGGATATTGCTTTGTGAGCACCCTCAGCGAACACATGCTTTCACTGTTGATGATCTGCAACTTATTCGAGTATTTTTAATGACAAACATGCCTGAGCAAGCACCCGCTATACGACAGAAAATCCTTTCTGGGCTGAAAAAGGTTTTTTTTTCAAAGTTTTCAAAGATTTGCTACTAATTCATCAAATAGCTCTTTATCTAGGTTCTCTGTCGGATGGCTGAGACTAGTGAACAAGTTTTAAAAGGGAAAGGTGATGATATAGGACAAGTTGAGAACTATAACAACTTCATCAGGTTTAGTGATTTCAATGTTTCTCATTTGTAATCTCAAGCTCATGTCCTGCAAAAAAACTTCTAGTTTGAAATTATGAAAGAATTCATCCAAAAATTCTTCCATTCCAAGAGATTGACAAGATCATGCAGATGGTTGTCATAATTTGAAGGCACACAATAATGTTGCGCTACATAGTTATCGATATGTACTTAGGTGTGAATTGGGACACTAATGAATGAACAGTGGAACACAACCTCTAAAATGTCCTGGAGAGGAGAAAGAAGTGAGATCACACTGGGAGGGAAAGGCGACACCCCATCAAATAGACCGCTCTATCTGACTAATGCGGAATTCTTGCCAGCACAATTACAAAATTCGTAGCGCTTTGTAGATAGCTCTATCTTAGCCGCTGATGAGTATTGCGACGTACACCGTCTACATTTCTCTCTCGGCTAACGTCCCATTCAACTTAACTTGTACTTGAACTTGAAGACTTCTATGGGTCTCGACCGTACATGGTAGAAATAACCTGTTTAGATGTTAATTATTCATCTGTTATTCATGCATAATTGAACACATTACTCTTAGGGATATCTTGTCATTATCGTATGAGTCGCTGTCGCCCGGAGCCAACTTTTGCCGACGTATTATGGCATTGTCCATCTTACAGTGCTTTTATGTGGAAGACATAATGCGACCCCATGGAAAAAGTAAGCAATTTATAATTTGAAATATTTAAGGAGTTCGGGTGTGTAACCTTTGTTTTACAATTCTTGCGGACGGAACTGCAGAGCTATAGCAATAATCGGTGGAATCGTTCTTAATGGCTTCTATTTCAGCCATGTTCTTTGATCAGCTTAATTTGCCCAGCACTGTAACACCTTCTCGATTCGCTGCCTTAGTTTCTTGTCTCGACGATTCCTTCCAGTTATGTCAAATTACGGCTCTTGAAATTCTCAAAAATCTGCCGATTGTGGAGGGATTTGTAAGTAACCGTTTCTTATACCGTTAGCATTTTCCTCTTGATCCTATTTCTGTATTATTGTAACCTTGGAGAGTTGTTTGCTTGCGGATGGATAAGGAGCTGTGTCAGTTATTCCCTATTATTTGAGGACTTCGAGGCTTTCAAGTCAGAAACTATCGACATGATGAGATCCATTCGCTCTCACAATACTCTAGCAACTGGATATAGAGTGCAGGTGTGTCAGTTGTTACACCGAAGCCATCATAGGCAATTTTTGCAGTTTATGAAGGTTGGCTAAATATTCTATTTAAATTGTTCCGGATAGATGGTTTTCCACTTCCAATTCAGTAATGGGGGGAAGTGGTGTAGTGGCAAGTGGCGCGCTTACCACGCGAGCGGTCCGGGGATCAAATCCTGGGTCGTGAGTCGCCCGGGCCAACCAAGCCTTCCATCCCTGGGTCGGTTAATTGGTACCAGACTTGTCTGGGAGGATAAAAACACTGACTTGTACATCGGCTGGCCCCCGCAAGTCATTGTATAGGCCACATCGCATTCAAACGCCACTACGAATGTACAAATGGAAGTAGAATGCGTGCCGCATCCCAAAAAGGGATTGATCAACGGCAAATGCTTTATCCTTTTTATTATGAATGGTTTCGATGGGCTACAGGGGGGGGGGGGGCGCAAGTTAAGAAACGCCGACAAGACACCGACAAAGACGGATGGCTATTAGGTTGATCGCCAGTTCGCAATCTGTCTGGGGACAACGATTCGCAGAACTAACGTCATTCGAATCTACCTCCAGCAGACTGATGCAGAGGCTTGAGTCACTTGAGTAAGGCATTCATCGGCACAAGCAGTTGTTTTCATGTTCCTCTCGGACCCTTCTAGGAGCGTTCTGCAGAGATTGTCTATTTCTGAGCGCGCTTCTGCAGGCTTTTCACCCCTGCACTCACTCCACTCCAAAAAACCTTCATTCGCTGTCTACTGACTCTCTACTGATTGTTAGTGGTTTGAACTTGTTGAATTTGGACTAACTTATTTTATTATAGTTTTATGTAAACTGTCATCCATCATCAGTAAGAGAGCTGTTGGAATATCTGGTTAATATATGTGCGCAGAACACAAAAGCAGCCCAAGAAAACTTGGTCAGTTCCTTCATAGCTTCGAATGCCAAAAATCTGATTTCCTCCGGGAAAAAAGTTTTTCCTGTAAATGTTTGTTTTTTCAGTTGAACATAACCTACAATTCTATCCACCCTTGGATGAACGCTATTGCCATTCTCTTAGAAAATACGGATTTTTCTAAAATGGAGTGAGTCTTATGTTTTCATCTCTCAAATCTGTAATGGAAACTTTGGGTATTGGCATTATACAGTCTCCGCCGCTAGGGCAGTGCCTTGTTTCTAAAACTTTGATTTGGTTTTTCGGTTAGTTCGAGGTCGGTCGCTTTTCTTTCGAACGGTGTTGAAAGTAGTGCTGTTGCTGATCTACCCCTTATATCGTGAAACGTTGACAACCTGTCATCCGAAAGGCTTCTCAATCAGAAAGACCAAACACCTTCGTGAATATGATCTGCTTTTCTTGAAAATTACGAATTTTTTTTTCAGTTTGAAGGTTCACGATTGGTGGATACCATTTTTACAGCAACGAATAATTCCTCTCTGCTTCGACGTGGCAGCTGTGGTGAGTTGATTCTTCTGGATTGCCATATCCACCAGAATGGGAGAGGACAGTTGCACTAAAAGTTTTGTATAAGTACGGCTGTTTTCGGCTACTTTTAATAGATCAAAGTCAAGTCGAAAAATTGTTCATCATGTTTTACCTTTGTTGTCATCTTATGTCTCGAAGCTTAACAAAAACCGTGCACACCTTGAACAATTCTTTTAACCATTATGTCGAATAAACATGACCACAATTGGTTTAATGCAGGTGACACCAGCGGTGCATTCTATGTCACCTGAGGGCTACATTCCGGAAGAAACACTAATGAAAATGGGTGCGTATTCATGCTCTTCAGCTCTTCTTCATTTTATTTCTTAATTTTGAGAGAACCTTTTCCTTGAGACCTCTCTTAGTGTTTCTGCGGGTGTTTGAGCGCTTTCTATTCTACAGAGAACATTCGTCACTTCTCTTATTCCATGTGTTCCCACTTTGAAGACTACACCTGTAAAATACTTTATAGCCGACCCTTCAACGAGCGGGAATTGTGTCCAGATGGCAGCCGAGGTGTCACAGCTACTGTTGGTTTGTTGTTGGCGAGCTCATAAACACGTGTCAGCAATTCTGGCATGGGCGGTGGTGAAAGTGAGTAAAGAAGTCAATTTTTTAGACTCATCCGCTTAGGCGGAAGCCTCTTTTGTACTGTACTTCTTATTTTGTATTTCTCACCGCTGAAGATGTTCGTCGCATTGGCGATTTTTACTGGCTGCAACTGACCGAGTGCAAGCACTGTGGGGCGTTTGAAACAGCTGTAGAGGGGTAGGTTTCGACAAGCATGAATCACCTGAACAAGTTCAGAAATTCCCGTAGTACTGTCATGAAGAATCACGAATCTTTACGTTTCTTTTCCTTGTGTTCTTACCTTTGGAAGAACGATGATCCCTCTCTGCCTAAACCTGTTGAGTGGTTGCGGCAAATTCTTGATGCACTGGATGGAAAGAAGGGTGAGTTCGATCAGAGCGTGAGAATAGTCAATGCAGACGACAGTCTGCGCTTATTTGAGCAAATCCTTTAGTTCAAATGTCACATATTGTCAGACCTCCAAAACCTGTGCTCCACTCGACGGAGCGCTGGTGTGCCTCATCTCGTCACTACCATTCTAGCGACTGAGCCACCTGGTCATCCCAGTCAATCACTGAAAGTTGCAATGATGTCTCTTCTAGAAATGAGCCACAAATCTGTCACTTATCGGTAGGGCAACCTCTTTGATACTATTTGAAAGGTTTCCCAGTTTCGCATTTGTCCTGTTTAGTGTTCACTCACTCAATGTCCTGAAAGCCATATTCTCATCAGCAACTCTGGGAGATCGTGTCGCTGCCGCCCTAGAGGTATGCACATTGGAATTTTGCAATGGAATTTAATTTAATGAGTCAATTTTTCGCACTCTCACCCATTGTTGGCAGCCAGTCGAGAACATCGTTAAATTCAGAACAACTTGGTTGTTTTTGTTATAACAAATGGCACTATTTACCCTTTACTGCCCCACTCCTCGGGAACTGAGCCGGATTTTTCTCGAAATTTGTCGTAACTGTGGATTGGATTAGAAACTACCTGCTGGGGTAATTCGACCCGTAGAACACGATTATGACACTCTTTTGGCGTTCTTCTTCCTTCCTTCGCCAAATTCCTGGCGCCCGCGCCACAGGTACCGGCGCCAATAGGCGCCAGAACACCACGGGTCACCAAATTTGCTGGAAACTTGTCATCAGAGGTAGTTGAACCCGTAGAGCATAAATATCACACTAGCGAGTAAGTCTATAGCTCGCGCCACGTGGGCCGGCGCCTGTGGTGGAGGAGCCAGGGGTTTCCGCGCTAATCGATGTGATATTCGTGTTCTACTACTTGAAATACCCAAGGAGTCAACGATTCTAGCCAAATCCTTAGTCAAGGACAAATTTCGGTTGAAATCCGGCTCAGTTCTTGAGGAGTGGGGCAGTAACGGGTGAATAGTGCCTAACAACTTTATCTACATTATTTTTAGTGGGCGTGTCGTGTTGCTGTTAGTGGATGCTCAGCGGCTACATGGCCAGAGCGCAATGCTGCAGCCCAATTAGCAGCTGCCCTTAGGGCACGGATATTTGGTGTTGCTCATAAGAGCCAGCGGGATCTTCATGTAGACGCAAAAAATCGTCAGAGTTCGTACGAGTTTTTCTCAAGGTAACTAAGCAGTTCAAAGTTCATTCTCTTCATGATATATGACTTGCAGGTTCCCTTCGTTGTACAGCTATC